ACATTGGAAAGACGTTCCGAAAAGTGCCAAAAACATAGGATTTTTACACGTAGGAAAAGCCGAAAATATCTTTCACAACTAGAATCGAAAAGATACTGCGAAAATCGAAAAATCCTAAGAACACAGAAAATTGCAAAGAAGCGTCGGAAATGTCGCGAGAAAGCAGTGTCTATCGCCACGCGATATTGCTATCGCTGCGTGGTTGTGAAGGAATGGTGTGCTTCGAAGAAGTGTATTATTCCGACAGAGGTTTCAGAATTATTAGAAAGCTAATTATTCAGTGAGGTCAAGTGATCGGAATGCCTAGCTGGAGGCCGCTTCCGATCAGTAATATTAATGCATAATTAATATTACAGCTTAATCTTGACTAAACCCTTCGAGTCATACCCAATTGAGTAACCGACCCGAAACCACGAATTGATCTGAAGGATTAAATGAGTCAATTGAGTATTACGAACATAGACATCGGATTCCGAGCTTAGAGCGTCGGAAATCGAGCGTCATAAGTCTAGTCGAATTAAGGAATCGACGAGACGAGAAATCAAGCTAACAAAAAGTTACAAATATACCCTTAACCTCGAAATGCCCCGACCCATGACAATATAGCTAGTCAAGGCAGCCGCACCATACCGAGCTTGCTAGCATTGCAAGTTAGCAGCGCTGGCTAGCTAGCTGGTGCGGCATGGCCAGCATTGCTGGCGCGCTTGGCGTGCTAGCATGCTAATGCCTCGCACACAGCAGCCCGCGAGCAAGTACAGCTTGCTGGTCCGTGCTAGCACATCGCAGGCTGGCAGCGTATACTTGAAAGGAATGGTGTCCTTCCAACAAGTGTATTATTGCGATAGAGGGTTCAAAATTATTAGAAAGCTGATTCTTCAGTGAGGTCAAGTGATCGGAACACCTAGGTGGAGGTCGCACCCTAATTAAATAACTGATCCAAGACGACGAATCAATCTGAAAGATTAGATGAGTCATTAGAGTATTACGAACAAAGACGTCGGATATCGAGCTTAGAGCATCAAAACCGAGCGTCACAAGTCAAGTCGAATTTAGAATTTGACGAGACGTAGAATCAAGGAAGCGACAAATTCGAGCCAAGCCGTAGCATCGCATTAGCCTAGCCATACGAGTGCGAGGCTAGGCGAGACCACAAACCGCATGCATGCTTGCTTGCCTAGCATCGCCCAGCACTCGCACATCGCACATCAAGAGCATTGCAAGCTGCGTGCCATGCGTGTGTGTGTTGTGGCTATGCGTGCATGGCTGTGCGTGCTTGCTAGCATAGCAGCACCAGCCACTCGCAGCAGCAGCTGGGCCACGCTAGTAAACGCAACGCAGCAGAAGTAGCAGCCCGCAATGCATGCGTGACTTGCTTTCTACGCGCATGCGATGTGCGAGCTGGCAGCCAGCCCAGCCTTGGTACTAGGCGCCAGCTAGGCAACCTTGCCAGCCAAAGTGGGCAGCCAGCCAACTGTACAAGGGAGGCCAACTCACGGTTTGTGGAGGGGACTGGTTTTAGGGGATTGCTTGGGGAGCAAATGTTGTATTGTCCCCCCAACCTTCCTTCTTCCCCTAAATGGTCCTCACCTAACCTTGCTCACCATTTGCCACTTGGCGCTTGTTGATTCATTTTGCATTTTCATTTGTTTTTAGATTAAAATAAATTGGGAAAAATACAGTTCTCCCACATTAATGGGGAATGGGAAATCAAGGCTCCTTTCCCTATAAATACCCAAGTTTTGGGTTTGGGAAAAGCACTTGAGTTGAACTCAATAAGGCATCTCCTTGAAAGTGAGAAAACCTTTAAGTTTGAAATACTCTAGTTTTTCTTTGGTCTAGCCCCGACTAACCTTCGGGGTAGAGACCGCTCGGGTTGGGTTGAGGGTGCGAGCCGTCGAAGGCCTACGCACTTGCAAGGCTGGATCTTTCAAGTAAGAGCTCGTAAGCGAGCGAAGCACGCGTCGAGGGTAAGAATGTCTTTTCTCTTTCTCTCTCTTTGTTGTTTAATTATATGATTGCATGTTTAGTTACCTTAGTTAGTGTGCGGGTCTTGGGCGGGTTTCATTCTGCGTAGTGTCGGACACTACGAAACCTAACAACGGTATCGGAGCCGCGCTCACTTTAATTATTGTAACTAATAATTAATTGAGATGATTTAAAATGGATTTAAATGTCTGGTTTTGTTTTCTTATTAGATTAGAAACTCATTTTAATTAGTTTTAATCTCGAATTTATACTAATTTTGGCTCCCGAACCCAGATTTCGACCCAAAAGTAGTGAATTTTGGGTGGAATCGATGTTCTAAATCGTTTTTGACCCTCTTTGAAGGCTGTCTAGAAGCCAAAATCCACCTAGAAACATGTTTTTCGAGGGGTTATTCGTTTTTGACGAAAATTTTTAAATCTTTAAACCATGATTAATTATGGCATGTTAAAGGTAGATTAAATGTTTGGTTGCATCACTAATCTACTGCAATAATAAATCTTATTAAGCATGTTTATGAAGTCATAATGGGTGCTTAATTTGGTGTGTTCATTTTTCACATAAACTTGAAATTTCACAATTTTGCAAATTAATTGCTTCAAGTGTGAATGTTTATGGTGAATGTGTAATTTTGAAGTCCCTCAAATGTTAAAGATCCAATCTTTAATTGTTTATTTGGTTGGAACTTTACTTTCTAAATTCCATGTTGAACTAATTTTGGATTTAGTCACTTTGAATTGATTAAAGTCCTAAAAGTTCATAACTCGTGATTGAAATTTAATTAATCTTCATATTAGAAGATGTAATTTTTCAATTACACACAAGCTAAGTTGGTTTTGGAAATTTTTCATTAGATGAATGGGTTTATTTTTCCAACCTCTTTAATTTTGTCAAATCCCATTATTAATTTATGTATGGTTAAATTAATTTTGAGTATAGCCCTTCATTTTTGTAGCATCATGATGAACCGAAAATTGATTTAAAGAATGGTTTTTAAATAATTTTGGTTTGTGCTCTATAAAATTGAATTTATTTAAGTTAGACTTGTTATATTTTCATTCTTATTAAAGGTTGGTTTTAAAATAAATTTAGAATTAATTTTTTATCACACATAAATCGAGATTAAAATCCCGAGACAAGTGCACGCAAATCGAGGCAAGGACCGCTCAAAAACACAACCTTGGGTTAGCCGGGCTGCTCACGCAACCCACATGTGGCTGCCAAGGTGCGTGTGTGGGCTGCCTTTCCCCCTTGATGAGCTAATGTGTGGTGTGTGCAAGTAAGTGCACACTTGGTGCTGCAGTATGTGTGCATTTACTGCGGTTTGGTGCATCACAAGGGGCAGCAATGCTAGCAAGCCACCCACAAGCTGCCAGCGCCAGTAGCATGCTAGCATGCTGCAAGGTTGCATGTGGCAGCAGGCATGGGGGTGCGCTCCTGGCTGGCAGGCCAACACCCAAGCACGCAAGCCAAGGGGCCTTGGTGCCTAGCAAGCCAAGCCCCATGGCTTGGATGCTAGGCACTCGGCCATTTGATGGGCTATAACTTTGCGTTATTTGGGCCGTTTTAATTATTTATTCAATTATTTTAACGAGGCTAGGCCTCGGTTCCTCCGGCACTTGCAAAATAATTTGGCAAAATATGGGTTAACCGGCTTGATTAATTAGATTAATTAAGTTGGATGCGGAATTTAGTGGGAGCTTCGTTAATTACTTGAGCTAATTTATTGCGTTTTAATCACATAATCAGTTAACAACTTTGACTAGTTTTAATTAGGCGTGTTAATTGGATTAACCAGCTAAGTTAGTTACTAGTTTGCCCGTGTTATGCATTGTTACTTGTTTTTCGTTGTAAAATGCATGGGCCATTCACACATAGTGAATGAATGAATGGAATGTATATTGTATCACAGGTTTTGTGAAAATGGCAACTAGTGGGGCCCGACTAGGATAGTAAATACGGACTGCGATCTGTTATGTATTTTTGTAAATCTAAATACGGTCTGCGTACCGTTGCGTATTTTTGTACCTTAATATTTAGATTAATCCTAGTCATAGTAATTAGTAGTTGCATATTTGGTGGAGATGTCTCGAAGACGGCGTTTCTAAGAAGACAAGCCAAGAAGTTGCATCGGGAACCCTTGGAGACTTAAAGACTCAAGGGGTCATGCTAGTTGTCAAATGCCTCTTTAACTTATGTTTTATATACATAATAGTGTTTACATATGAATGAATGGTATGTTAGATGCATGTCTAGGATTTCAAAACGTTGCGATGATTAATTAAGTTCACTTAAATCAACCAACATAGAAACCCTAGGTCCCTATAATATCAAGCCAAATTTGTCATTCCAAGAACAACACTTACCGAACTAATGCGCGTAGTGATGGGCTACGCCAAAGCGAGGCATCACTACTTCCCTAGGAACGTAAGGTATACTAGGTATACAAGTTGGTCTTGGTTAAGCTCAACGATATCAGTAAGGAGTCCATAGATGTCGTGGCAATGGAGATAAAATGTCATGGAAGCATTAGATGCGACGTTTTATTGAACCAAGAGTAGCTTAGAGCTATTAGCAATTGGATTGCTTACCTTAAAATATTAAGTGTTAAGACAAGCCAAAGCATGCTTAATCACTTTTTGATTTTTGGGATCTTGGAATCTTTTTATTCTCGCCTAAAAGGGACAATTTTAATGCGTGGATACTAGGCGAAAACATGTAATCCGCACCGGTTCAAAACCCCCATTTAGCACCGGTCCTGATTTGGGGGGTGCTAAAACCCTAGACATTTCGCACTGGTTCAAAACCTGTGCGAAATCAGACTTTTCGCACCTGAGAACCGGTGCCAAAAGTCCCCAAAAAAATTTTAAAAAAAACTTTTAGCACCGGTTCTTTTCCAAACCCGGTGCCAAAAATGCCAAAAAAAAATAAATTTTTTTTTTTTTGCATTTTTTCACTTAAATTGTACCAAATATTTATATATAATCATAATATACATAAAACACATATATTTTATTCAATAACTTGTAATATTACACTTTAAAAAACTAAAAAAAAAAAAAAAAACTTGAGATTTCAGTTGAATGCTGACTAGTTCTTTTCGATGTAAGGCCAGTGGATGTGCTAGATCAGGAAACATATATGGGCTCTGGCTCCTGCTTTCTTCTGATCCTGCAAGCACACGGGAGGGGATGGAATACAATTAGAATCGAAATATGGAAACTCAAACAATTGAACTTTAAACTTTCTAAACAACCTGTCAGATGGTAATCTTTTAGCATAGATGTTTACAGGACATTCATCTGAGTCAACTAACCAAGGCTATGCAATTATCCAATTACATGTCTTTGCCTCATTTGCGCCAGGGAGTGATCCTGATTCTGAGGGATGCTTGTAGCCCAACTAGCATGATGAGAGAGGTAGATGAGAGAGGAGAAGAGATCGAGGAAAGAGAAATAAGAATGAAGACAGAAAGAGAAATTAAAGAAAGAACAAAAAAAGACCGGGTTTTAAGTTGTGCATATTTGCTAATTTAGTCATAAATAAATTGTACATAAGAAATAACCCCTTTACTGGACCCTGGCCTTATCTTGTTATTGGTAAAAAGAGATCCTATGATTCATGAAACCCAGGAAAATATAGAATTCTGGTTCTCCCATCTGCCTGATGGCAAGTAGAACTTTTGTGTGATAACATTTCTCAATTAATGAATGGTGGATTAACATATAAAAGAGAGAACATAGAGCATAGCAAAGAGAATACACAGAAGTGAACAAAATCCTTACCTTTTGTCAACCAAATCAGTTTTATTTCCAACAAGGACAATAATCACATCACTGCCACGTTCTGTCCATACTTCATCAATCCACTTTGTAGTGCTGAGAAATGATTGCCTATCTACATGATGAAATTGGCTACAGGTTTATTATCAACAAATAACCAAAGAGAATAATATTGGTTCAAGAAAAAGCAAGCATCAGCAGAAATTGTACATTACTAGTACATGGTTTCACCCATACAACACAAACAAGCCTTCTATTAAAGAAAAGAAGGCAATATAGAGTATCATCGTGAGTTATTAAAGTTAGTAGACGCACAAGATGGAGCATAGAGTGAGATTCAGAACTTACAACACTGTACCCTACCTAACAGAAGGCAAAAGTCAGGTCTCATTACTGGATGCAAATATTACAAGAATTCAAATGTATAATTAACAAACCTCATATGTCCTACCTAATCACGCAGATATATTTATGTAACAGATCATACTTATATTCTGTAAAAAGTTATTTTTTCGTAATATTGTATTAGCAAGCAGTATCCTCACAAAAATATATTTATGATGAGTAAATGGTATATTCCTACAACTTACAATACTCTGTATGACCCCCCATTCATGACTGATTTTCATACATTTTTCCAGGGACACCCCTGGACACCAACAACCCCCCCTCCCTCTCCCAAAAAAAAAAAAAAAAGAAAAGAAAAGAATAAAGGAGAGGGATTAACTGAGAAGACAATTTACATAGCCCCAGAGCCCCCTGCCCCATCCCTACTCCCTTGAACAAATTTCCCAAAGTTATCTGTAAATTAGTTTTAGCTATTTTCTATCCACCACAACATCAACTCAATGTGGGAGTTCATGTATTTAGAAGCAGATTTTCTATATCACCGCACTTCCATACATTTCAGTGCATGTCTTTGACCATGCTAACATCATTGTTTGTCAGCTGCATGCCCGCATTCACCCATGTTTTTTTTACCATAATACCAGCTGATTAACACTTCAAATGTAGTTGAAAGAGTAATCACAGAACATACCAAGGTTTCCAGTCCAACTATTCTAAATTCATTCTGTATAAAGTTATCCTCCTGTACAAGCACCACATCACCAACCTGTAGACATTTAAAAATTCATACATAAATGACAAGAGCATAATTGCTATACAATTAATAAAGAGTATTACTTGTGTTGCTTCAACAATTGCTTTCATTAATGTCAGAAACATGATAAAAATGGCCTGCAGGTGAATCTCATAACCAAGGGAGACATAATTGAAGTCTATTCAGCATGACAATACTTATGGTTAGCCACACAATTTGTCTTCCACCAATGTAACAATACTTAGTAGAGGGAACTGTCAAAGATAGAAAGTTTAAATCCATGCTACTCTAAGCACCAGACCAGTCTAAGTTTAAATCCACACATTTTTCTCACCAGACCAGTCTTAAAACAATACTTTGCATGAATACCTGAAATTTAAACAAGTGGAACAGAACCATAGGACAGGCAAACCAAAAGCACATACATGATCCAAGCATAAGTCCAGCTATAAACGTGATTAAATTACATAATCTGAAGTGGGCAGACGAAAAAAGAGAGCTTTTATGGTGGTAAAGGTGCATTGCAACAATAAGCAGCTGAATTGTTCAAATTTGTATGCTACTTTACCTAGACATGTTAAAGCCAAAACTTTTAAAAGCAGGAAGCTATATACCTTTTTAATATCTTCAAGAAGAAATTTTACTGAATCCGAAGAAAGCAAGTTTGGCCTCACTTCAACCTCCATTACTTGCCACTGAAATGCATAAACAACAAAAGCAAAGGGGGCTTTAAAAGGCCAAAGTACATATGTCATAAAAAGGAGATTTATGCAGTTTTCAGGTGTATATTTAGTCACAGAAATACTGAATATTAAAATCTGCAAGAACTGAATAGTCAGGCTTCAGATTTTCAACTCATACACAAATCCAAGATACAGGAGTGCCACCCCATTGATAAAATCCATTGTCAATAAAATAACAGCGTATACTTATATGCTAAGCAAGTAATTGCTTGGTCATTTAGCTTAAGATGATAAATACATCATATCTTTTTTACTTATACCGCACCACTTGCTTATAAAGAAAAAACCTAAATTCAAACAAGCATCTTATTCAATATGATTAAAGTATCAAAGACCAACGTTTTAAAGATGACAATCATCCAGCATGAAATCACTGGAAGAAAATAAACTAGTCAAAGAACAGACCAAAGTGCAAAGAGAACTATATGAGGCTTAATCACTAACCGTGTAGTGGAAAAAAAACCCATGACCGACATTTGAGAATGGAAATTTCTTGTTTAGCTATACTAAGAAAGTTTTTGGTTAACAAGCAAAGAGAGAAGGCTGGAAGAGGAGGTGAGGGGAAGACAAGGAAGGAAAAGAGATGGGAGGGGCAAAAGAAGGGACATGCATTATTTTGCTAACAACGTTAGAAAGATTTGGTTAATTAGATTAGGAAGGAAAACAGATCTCTCTAATCCCCTTCCCTCCGTCAACTCTTCATCCAAACAATTGAATATAGAGTAATGGACTCCTCACTGTTCCCTCCCACCAAAACCCTTCAACTAAAGCCAAACACACTGCCTATTTTAGAAATCATGTATGTAATGTGGTTAATTCTATGTTACTCACACTCTTTGCAGTCTTCCAATGATTTCTCTTACTGCAGATTTCATCGATCAAATCAAACTACAGTATCCATTTGAGGTGTCAAATTAGTGTTTATGTGACACACCTGACACAAGTAATGCAATTTTAATTGAAGAATGTGCATAGAAGAGATAATTGTTGTTAATCTTCGGGCCAAGATACTAATCAATTTTTCAAGAAAGCAAAGGGTGCATGTAACCGATGTAACTACATAAGCTTATCCTTGCTGCCAACTTTGTAATAAATAGTATTTCTAGTGAAAGATTAAAAGCAATATGCATATTAATAAGCTTATATGACCACTTTAATTTGTCTGCTGTTAGGTGATGGAAAATTTCCTTCCATAGAAGGACTGCAAGGGTAATTAATATGAGTACATGGTAAGAATACAACCCTGCTCACAAGGGAAAGCAATATGCACTACCAAATACACCAAGGAAAGCATACAACCCTGCTCACAAGGGAAAGATCATGTTTTTAGCTCAATAAACCTGACAGGAAAGTCTACAACCCTGCTCACAAGGGAAAATCATGTCTTTGGCTCAACAAGGAAAACATACAACAAATACAAAGCCTACACATTTTTTAAAAAAATGGTAACCTGCCTAACAAAGCTCAATAAACCTGACTACACCAATGCAGATTGCATTCAATATCCACTCCATAAATTAATCAGAACACTGGCTAATACATCTATCAAACAAGTTAAGATAAACACATTTTAAACTATGCAAACTAAAATGCAACTACAAACAAATACTTGACACACAACACTTACACCACTCTTTTAGAAACCACAAACTCCCTAAGGAATGGTTAATTATTATTTATATTAATTATTAAGAAATAAAATAAGATAACTCACCAACAAACTGCGCTTTTACACGGATGAATTGTTCTTGTATAAAGCAATCAATAATCACCAAGGAACTCCTACACAACATTTCATTTTTTAAAAAAACCCATTAAATCCACAATTAGAAGCAAAACTACTAATAAATCATTCTTGAATGACACTAAAACATCATCCCCAAAAACTGTACAAACAAAAAATCATAGCAAAAACCTACAATTAACTAAGATTGGTCCACAATAAACATAACTAAAACAAAAAAAACAGAATAAGCCATACAAAAATTAGCATACTAACTATCAAAATGAGCAAAACAACTGAACAAGAACGTAATACAGAAATCTGAATTTAAATCTGATAATACACAAACTAAGCAGAAGCAATAACATAATCTATAGTTCAAAACTCATCTAAAATCCAACATCATTATCAAACTACTCATGAACCATTCATTTAATTTGCCACACAATCTATTAAATCAATTGTATTAGAATCCATATTCAGATTCAGCGTAAACTTATAACATAAATAAACCTCTTTTGAAGATTAGCCGGGAATATAGATTTCTCTCTAAGTTGAAGCCTAAGAGCTCGAAGTTCATGTTCCACGTCCATCACCTATGGATGAAAAGCAATCATTAATATACAAGGTCAGGAGCTAAATACAAGAAAAGAAGAGATCAGCAGGTACTTACTGACATATCTCCTCAATATTCCTTCAAAATACTTTGGGGCAAATCTTCCTTTCACCACCAATCTCTGCTGTCCATTAAGAGATCCACTTGTTCCCATCAATTAAACCCAAAATTTCAAAGCATTTAACATGAATAATTGGACCAAAAGAGCAAAATATAACGCAAAGCTAAATAACCCAGAAACCCTAACCTCGAATTTCTGATTTTTGGTTCGAAATTGATTTGAATTTGTGCTTGTTGAAGACACACACACATCGAATTGATTCAAAATAGACGCACCCAGAAACCCTAACCTCCAATATTGTAGATTCAAGAAATAGACGTTGGCGGCGATGATGGTTGTCCTTGGTTCGAATTGATGCCGGTTTTCGAAGGAGGGCAGCAGGTCGTTCAAGGCCGATTTCTTCTGTAGATTAGGGTTTGTTTGAGGAGAGAGAAGAGAGAGATAAGAAGGAAGAGGTGAAACAGAAAGAACGAAGAGGGGAAACCGAAAGAACGAAGAGGGGAAAGAGAAAGAAGGAAAGATCGAGTGCGCTTCAATGGAGAATTTCGAGTACGCACCAATGAATAAGGAGAGGAGAGAGAGGCAGCTGAGAGAGGAGGAAAAATCGATAAAATGAAAGAGAGAAAGAAAATTAACCGGTTTTTTTTTTATTTAACAATAGATTTCGCACCGGTTCCAACTAAACCGGTGCGATTTACACACTTTTCGCACCAGTTTTGTTAGAACCAGTGCGAAAACTCTTTCCATCAATCCCGCCCATTTTTTTTACTACCGGTTTTTAAGAACCGGTGCGAAAAGTGCGGCGCCTAATTTATTTTTTTCTACGTAATAAGATTGAAAATTTGCATGTACGCTTTAAATTTCAAACTTATTATGTATCTTTATGAATGGTTATACTTTGCACTTATATTTGTAGAATTCTAAATTCAAATATATTGTTTCAATGATTGGTAAAGGAAATTTTTTGAGAATGGTTCTCAAAGAAAGAAAAGGCATTTCTGAAATACAACTGTTTCGGGGTTTTTTGATGTCCTGCGGGAGAATTACAATTACGGGACTGGTATCCTTGCGCCTGTACCTGCAAAACAACGAAGACTCCTTGTGGTGGGAGCTCTGCCTCTGACGACCAAGTTAGTACTTGTTTGTGGAGTAAAGAGTGCGGAAAAGTAAAGGTTGGGAGATCTGGTTCCCCTAGGTGAGGAGTGATCTAAGTGTTTTTACTCTCTAGGTGAGTGTAATTAATGCTTAACCCCCTTTAATGAGGATTAATTAGAGTATTTATAAGCTTTGGGAAACGTGTCAAATACTAGGTTTAGGTTAACCTAGGGCTGACTGGGCTTCCCTCGGAAATTGGGCCTAGGTGGCCGTTTGGAATATGGAGGCCACGTGGCGTGACACAACTGATCCATGGTGGACGGATCAACGCCTGACACGTGGCAGGCTATTATTGGTCCAAGTGGCGAACACTTGGCAGAACCTGAATGGTCCACTTGTCAGGTGATACTTGGTAGGGAAAAATTCCCTAATCATTTTCCCCTCATAGGTGGCACGTGACTATTCACATGTCACCTGTGACAGGTGTCGGCCTGTAACAGGCGACGACCTGCTACAGGTGTCGCCCTATGACGGGCCGAGCATTTTTTCCCGCTCGTTTTTTGAATTTAGAGGCGACCCTTCGCATTCTCCTTTTGCCCTATATAAGGACATGTTGACCAAGTCTTTTGTTCACATTTGCGAACTTTTCAAGAGAACTCTCGGACCCCTGAACTTGAGCTCTGACACTTTGTAACTTTTGATCTACCGATTATTTCTGACAGGCCGACTGCTTTTTTTAGGCGCCTGTTTGATCAAGCTCTTCTTTAGAACTTAAGTTTCAGGTAACCGTCTGTTCCTTTATTCTTTTTGCTTTTTCACTTTTTCTCTCTTTTTTGAAAATGAGACCTTAAAAGCATCCGACACGACCTGGGTTAGCAATCAGCCGGTCACCAGGGACGGCTGAGTCTAGGACTAGGGGTACCGACTGCCCTGCGGTACTTCAAACTTTGTGCAAGTCCCGGAATCCAACTGTCTTTGTATCTACGCAGGATAGTATGGAAGGAACAAAAAAGACCAAGAGGATTGAAAACTCTGATGGCTCCTCTTTCCGGGTTCAAATTAGCGAGCTGTCGGACCAGCCGCCTGATACCGCAGGGACCCAAGGTGGCCCTTCCACCGAGAGCTCTGAGGAGGTAGCTAAAGTAGCCCCTTCCCACTTCACTGTTGACCTGGCTAGTCAACAGACGGCCCCTGAAGAAGAAGAGGGGTCGGCCCCCTTAGGGAGAGGGGAGGAGTCGGACTCTTCTGATATTGAGTCTGACTCTAGCTCTTCAAGCCGCCTCTCTATAAACTCAGAGGAAAGGCATTCTCGTTTGCATGAGGCGAGACTTTCTCATGCGGCTGAAAAGGGGGACGGCTGGTCGGAACCATCTGCCTCTCATAGGGAGTTCAATACTCCTTACTACTGTCATGTCCCAAAGGGCCGAATCAAGGCCATAAAAGAACGAATAGACTCTTTTCTATCGAACCATGTGATGGGTCCTGATTTTCATGTATTTGTGCCGGATGCTGAGGATACAGTCGTCTGGCCCGCGGGGACTAGCTACAAAGGCTATCTGATGACGAAGGGCAAAGAAAATAAATGGAAGGATTGGAGAAACACCTTCCTCATCATTGCCAGCCCTGACAAGCTGCTGAACAAACGCTACAACAGGTGGAACAAAGATCTGCCTCTTCTAGCAGGCGGTTGCAGCATGTCGCTTGTTCCCCTCAAGGCCAGGGAAGAAATCCTTGACCGAGGGCTTTTCAAAGTAGAGATTAGGGCAAACTCTACTACTGGGGTACGAGAGCAAGTGCCCCTAAACTGCGTCCCAGAGTTTCAATGGCTCTATGACGATTACTTTCTGGCCGCCTGCGGCCTTAGCAGTCGGACCTCTAGAGGTAGCCGGCCACTTGAGCATGTATACGTCTTTTGCTTTGTTTCTGAATTTTCTAACTCTTTGTGGTTCTTATTTGCAGCTGAAGCTATGGACCAGATTTCTGCATCTAAGAAGACGGCCGCCTTGCTGCGGGCCTCCATCATGCATCAGAAACGGACCTCTTCTGATTCTTCTTCCAAGGAGACGCCCATAGTGAGTTTCTAATCTTTCAAACTTTGCCTTGAAAGCCTGCTATTATTAGTATTGACCATTCCATATTTTTCGCAGACGGGCACGTCCAAACCCTCCTCTTCCCAGCAGCCGGATATGAAGGCTCGTAAACTGGCGATTGGGAGCTCTCCTAGACTTAACTTATTTCTTAGGGACAGTCGGCCGCCAAGAAGTATAAACTGCTCTGCTAGACTTAACTTATTTCTTCATCTCTTTCTTCATGTTTTTGATGTTTCTCTTTGTTGGATGCAGGCGGCCCTCAAGAACCGGACTTGGTCCAAATGGCCAAGTCTATGATTAAGGTCGTCCCTCAAGAGGAGAGGGATGCGGTCAAGGGAGTCAGCACCCTTGACCTAGACGGCATCATGGGTTTCCTTTTCGAGGTAGACTTAGAATATTTTTAAAGTGTTGACTTTGCGTGCCGCCTGTTATTCTTAAATCTGACGCCTGTTTTTCCTTTTTCCAGACCATGCTGAGAGTACACGGTCTCCGAAGGCCGATCAGCGCCAAGAACAAAGAGGTAAAGGCTGCTAAAGCTATGGTCGCCTCTGACGTTGATAAGGCAATGTTTCAGGCGCAGGCCACTTCCACTATCCGCACCGAGTTGAAGGCGGCCAAAAAGAAGAATAATGAGTTGGAGGCGACGGTCAAGGGTCTCCGAGATAAGCTGAAGCCGCTTAGGCAGAAGATGACCCAATTTGAAGCCACGAAAAAATCTTTGGCGGCTGTCAAAGACCGCCTGCAAAAGCAGGAGAAGAGCCTCACTGCCGAGCTTTCGGCCAAGGCCGAGAAAGAAAAAATGGAATTAGTCCAGGCCATGATGGACGACTCGGCTCAGATCATGAAGATGACTTGGACGACCCTCTTCCCAAAAGCTCACTATGCTGCCTGGGAGAAAAAGTTCAACGCTTGTACTGAAACGTACAACCAACAGATCATGAGGCATGCGGCTGAGGAAGACGAGGCGGTTGACTCCAGCTCAGCGGAGGAAGAGGAGGTGGTGGCCCTGCAACCGATTGAGGTGGATGCGCATAAAACTCTTGCCCCTGAAGGCGAGTCGTCAAAAGAGGGGGCCTTGAAGAATCAAGCGCCCATCGTTGAGCTCGATCACGCGGCAGCTAACACCGAAGCCCCTCCCAATGCTTAAAGCTTTATTATTTTTTCTGTTCTCCGGCCTGCGTACCGTGTGCTCTTGTATCACTTTACCCGGCCAGGGGGCCGGGGTCGTTGAATATTTTGCTAGTCTTTATGGCCGCCTGTTTATATGAATTCGGCGACCATCTTTCGGTCGTCTTTGATCACGGAATCTTGTTTTATGCTTTATTTTTGCAAAGTATAGAGGATCCTACTATCCGCTTGTATGTCATACCGACTGTTTCGGCTAAAAATGTTTTAAAATTTGTAACTTATCGTAAGCCAAAGATTGCGAACAGGTACTAGGTACCGACTGCCTATGCCCCTGGACGACTGGTTGTCTTGGTTCCAGGTTAGGCGATCAGTCGGCCATTTACCCAGTCGGACCCCCAACGTATTTTAGGAAATACGTTAGGTTTGTTTAACTTTTTCAAGTAAGAAAGGAACAGGCCGTTTATAACCAGCCCGCCTGTTTATTAAAATAGGAATAGTTCTTGAGTCCCTGTTTGCCAAAAAGCAGTCGACCTACGAACCAGATTTTCAAACATGTTTGGTTTGAAAAGATATCATCTTAGTAGGGGTCGTGGTACGAGAGCTCTGGTTCGCCTTTAAACAGGCGGACTCGTCATACCTTTTTGGATCCTTACTAAGTATGAGAGAGTGACTTACTCATCAGCTTTTATGCTTGAGTAGTAGAAGTACTAGGCGGCGGAGGCCGGCTGATCCCCTTCATTCACCAATTTTTGTTGGCTATTTACTCAAGAGGTACCGGCTGTACTTATCCCAAGTAATACAGACGGTCATCCGACGCGGATGTTAACTGTTAACACTTGTTTGGTTTAGTTTTAGAGTTATCCTTGTCTCAAAAACGGCTACGTGGTTGTCCTTGGGGACAGTCGTCTGGGTGCCGTGTAATTAGTTTATAGAACAATGTTCCATCCAAAAGGGAGCTACTCTCTGCGACGAATTTCATTTGGAGGGATGCCACCGGACGCTTGCTATGATGTTAGGGCAGGTCTTATTAGTTTAAAGATTGGATCAGTTGGCTGGGCGCCTGGTCTGATCATTCGGCCATAGGCCTTAGGTAGTTCATGGCAAACTAAGTATAGTAGAGTAACCGACTGTATAACTACAGGCGGCGTGCCCCTCTTAATTGAATGCATATTTGAGTGAAATGGAGAGTAGCCGACTGTTTTACCAGTTGGCATGCCCCTCAATTGATGAGAAGATGGAGAGTAGCTAGCTGCTAATGGAGCAGGCGGCATG